TGAGGGTACTGAGCCTGAGGGTACTGGGACTGAGGGCACTGAGCCTGAGGGTGCTAGGACTGAGAGTGTTGAGACGGAGGGTCCTGACTCTGGGGGTGCTGCGAGTTCGGGTGCTGACTCTGGGGGTGCTGCGAGTCCTTTTGGTGTTGATGTCGTTGGAGCTCCTACCGGAGGACCTGGAACTACTGGTGCTGGAGGTACTGGAGGTGCTGCTGGCGCTGGAGGACCTGGAGCTACTGGTGCTGGAGGTACTGGAGCTGTTGCTCCTACTGCTGGTACTGCTGGTGCTGGAGGTGCTAGAGGTACTGGAGCTGCTGGTGCTGGAGGTGCTGGAGGTGCTACTGGTGATGGAGGTCGTGGAGCTGCTTGTGCTAGAGGTGCTGGAGGTGCTAGAGCTGCTGGGGCTGGAGGTGCTGGAGGTGCTGGAGGTCCTGGTGGAGCTACTGGTGCTCTTCGCCACCTTCTCAGTCTTCAGCCAGGTGCTACTGGCTTCCCTGTGGCAGGTACTACTCTTCCGTTGCTGTGTCCACCGGCGGACCAGTCACAGCCGCCGCTACTTCCGCACTCCCCACTGCCTGCTCCTGCTCCTTACACTGCGGTGTCACAGTCCCTGACTGAGCGTCGAGAGCCTGAGACTCGTGCTTCCACCCCTGAGCGTCGAGAGCCTGAGCTTTGACCTTGAGCCTGAGCCTAGAGCTGCTGTCCGTGCTCGTTATGACACTCCGTCCTTCCTCTGTTCCTCAGCGTGTTTTCCTACGTTACCTCCTGCGTCCTCTCTGCCTGACATTGCTGACCCTTCGTCTGACCTTGCTCGTGCGTCCAGTCCGACTGTTACTCGCCTTCTTGCTACGGTTGTGACGGACCCTACGTTCTCGTCTCCTGCTGCGTCTGCCCTATTAGCTGAGCTCGTTGACTTTGCTGCTGTGTACCGCCTAGACTACCTTGCGAGTCTTGTCTCTGACCCTATCCCTACCTGTCCTCCATCCGTCGGGGGTGAGACTGCCCTTGGTTGTGACGTTCTTGAGGACAGACAGGAGGAGCTGGAGTGCCTTGCGGCCGCTTCACCCCATCACGCGACCATGCTGCTTGCCCCTGAGGGAGACCCGGATGCACTTGACATCCGCACCCCGCGCTCCTATAGGGAGGCGATTTCGGGTGAGTACTCCTCTCAGTGGCAGACAGCCATGGACGCAGAGATGGCTTCCTGGAAGTCCACAGGCACGTACGTCGACGAGGTTCCCCCACCTGGGGCGAACATCGTCAGTGGCATGTGGATTTTCAGGGTAAAGCGACCGCCGGGTTCTCCGCCTGCCTTCAAGGCACGTTACGTTGCTCGAGGCTTCAGTCAGCGTGAGGGGGTCGACTTCTTTCAGACCTTCTCCCCCACCCCGAAGTTGACCACTCTTCGGGTGTTGCTATACGTTGCAGCTCAGCGTGACTACGAGCTGCACTCCCTCGACTTCTCGACAGCTTTCCTGCAGGGTAGCCTTCACGAGGCCATCTGGTTGCGCCGTCCACAGGGCTTCACTGGGTCGTTTCCTGAGGGTACCCAGTGGAGCCTACGGCGACCAGTGTACGGCCTACGTAAGGCGCCCCGCGAGTGGCACGACACACTGAGGACGACACTTGCGGCTCTTGGGTTTGCTCCTTCGACTGCTGACCCATCGCTGTTTCTACGCACCGAAACTATCTGCCGCCGTTCTACATCCTCGTGTACGTCGATGACTTGGTCTTTGCTACTGTTGACACAGAGGCACTGGCCCTAGTGAAGGCGGAGCTGCAGGAGAGACACACCTGCACTGACCTGGGTGAGCTGCGGAGCTATCTTGGCTTGAAGATCACCCGGGACAGAGCGCGGCGCACCATCACCCTGACTCAGTCACACATGGTGCACCAGGTCCTTCAGCACTTCGACTTCTCGTGGTCCTCGCCACAGCCCACTCCTCTGTCTGCCGGCCACTCGCTCTCAGCTCCACCTTCGCACGAGTCCGTAGAGCCGAGTGGTCCGTACCCAGAGCTTGTGGGTTGCCTCATGTACCTGATGACGTGCACACGACCTGACCTCGCGTACCCTCTCAGCCTCCTGGCTCGCTACGTGGCACCTGGTAGACACCGAAAGGTGCACTTTGATGATGCGAAGAGGGTACTGCGTTACTTGTGCAGCACATCGGGCATGGGGCTTGTGCTTGGAGGACGGAGTTCAGTGGTACTCACAGGACGTTCTGACGCTTCTTGGGCCGACGACCAGACGACTCAGCGTTCGTCACAGGGTTACACCTTCAGTCTTGGCTCTGGTTCTGTCTCGTGGAGGTCCACTCGTTCTTCTTCTGTGCTTGGTTCCAGCTGTGAGGCTGAGATCTACGCTGGGGCCATGGCTGCACAGGAGCTACGCTATCTGACCTACCTGCTGACCGACTTGGGGGAGCGGCCTCGTTCTCCTCCAGTTCTGTACGTCGACAACGAGGCAATGCTTGCCTTGTGTCGCGAGCAGAGACTGGAGCACAAAACGAAGCACATTGCTCTTCTCTACTTTCTTGCGCGTGAGCTGCAGCAGCGAGGTCAGCTGCGCCTTGCTTACGTGGCCTCTCGGGCCAACACTGCTGTTAAGAGAAGAGTTAGGGCGTGTTCCTACGCCTCATATCAGGCAACCTCATATCAGACTTGCCTGGTAAAACTAGCGAATGATTCTGGGTTTAGGGGAATTTTCAGTGTGAGCCTGATACGAGGTTCGCTTGATACGAGGCGTAGGAACACGCCCTTACAAGGTATAGGAAAGGAGGGCAGGAGCTAGAGGTCACCAATAAAGTTTGAACACTATCGACAACTACAGCTACGGGCAGTTACACGTATGTATATAAATTATATTATGACACACCCCCTTAACTACCTGCAGAAATTAATCAAGTGACGGCTGGTAGCTCAACACTGACGAACAACAATTGACGAGCAGTTATGTAGAATACGACATGCGATCACATCCATCCGGCTGGCAGCTATAGGCTGACGAACAGCAACTGCCGAGCAGTTATGTAAAATACGACAGGTGAGCATATCTAGTAAGAAGAAACACGAGAGAGCAGCACCTAGAGGATAGGGAGGAGGAAGAGAGAGAGAGAGAGAGAATCAAAGAGGGGCAGTGGAACAGGAGAGAGTAAGTGAGGAGGAAGAGGAGAGAGAGGGGGGAGAGGAGAGGAGTTGTGAGGTGGCGGATAGTGCTCTAGCCTCGCTCCCGCCACCCCCTCAACCTCCCCCCACACTTTCGAGAGTTGGGGTTGTACGCAAAGGATTTAACCCCGTTAATATTTTTTTGTTCTATACAATCTGTATAACCCATAACACCATGGGGTGTAGTGCGAATGATTGTGCCTTGCTGAACAAGCCCTATCAATTTCCCTAATCGGCTGGGTGTTTTTGTTCACTAGGACTTGCTGTTCCTTTGTGCGTGGCCAGTCCCACTTGCTCATATTGTCGGTTGACAGCGTGGAGTCCATGTCGAATGCTATCGCATCTAGTAACGGCAATGTTGCCCCTGTGGAGCTTGTTTCCGCATTGTTTGGAAACGCGTTTCGCATGAGCAGAATTTGTGACTAACTGTACCGTATATTAATGTAAATATATCCCATTAACAATATTGTTTCCTCCTTATTTTGTCTATTGCAGCTGACAGCCCTTTCGATTTGGCAGCCCAAGATCAGGTTTCTGTTTTCTTGTGCCCGTCTGTGCCTGTTCAAGCTACACTTGGCAAATTGCCGTTGCAATGCTGATGAGGGCTTTCATTGCATTCTGTCGACTCGTGCAACATTGCATCCAACCAACAAATTTTCCACCTGCTGCCTCTCTCCTCCCCAACTTACAGACATGTGCGGTAACCACTGTCCATATCGCTGACGCCATGGAGAATGCCATTGCCAGCGTCGTCGTCAGGGTTGGTCACTACATCTGCAGCGTTTGCGACACTCGTGAAATGATATTTCGCTCTTTTCGTAACGTGCGTTTCAGGATACATGATGCCACCGCGCCCAAATCCTCTGAGCGCCACACACCCGCCCTTCAACCAGCGTCCCTGCCAGCCAAAGTTGCTAACTGCCCTGCTGACACCTGTGACTCTATGTCCACGTGTCCATTGTCCAGTTAGTGCTGTGTCAGGGTATGCTCGCAGTTTTTTTCGCGGGTATCTTTAAACAACGCAGGGAAATCGCAAAACATTTAGGAAATGCTCGATATGTGTAAAGTTTACGCCTGGCTTTGAATTGTCGAATGAGGCATTGTTGTTTGCGTTGTTTCGGGCAGCGTCCTTCCTGCCAATCCCCCCTCCTTTGCCTTGATCTTGTTGTCACGTACACTTCGAAATCGCGTGTTTCGTGCTGCGGTGGCGGCGCACAGCCCCAGACCATTCCGTGGTCCCATCCATCCCATCCCCTTCCATTCCATCTCGTCCTCATCCCCCCTCCAGTACACCCCGTCATCCTTCGATTCCCATGGCATCATCGCATCTCCGCGTCACATTCAATTCGAGTGCCCTTTCGTTTCCACTCCCTCGCGTGACACGTCCTCTCCTCTCCACTCTTCGTCTCTCTCCAAGCAGCACAGACAGCAACATTGCTGTGAAAATCGGCACCTTTCCTCTTTCTACCAGAGATCGGGTCTCTGACTCAGCGGCAGTTGCAACATCCATTTCTGTTCCCCACCAACTTCACTTGATCCCCTGTCCAGGATGGCCTTTTGCAACCCCATTGTCCCTCCAGCCAACCCCCCTAGTTGTCCCAGTTGCCCAGCATCGTTGTATCAGCCAGCAACAGACGCAACTAGATCTACCACACACGCTGCTCATCTCTCTTTTCGCTGGACCCACATCGTTACACGTCAACAAGCCTAAGACGTGCCCCCGCTCCCGTGCTTTAGACCCAGTTGCTTTCTCGTAAGCCTTCAACTGACATCACTATCATTCTCGTATTTTTCAGCTCGGTAGCTTACCCGGATTGAAATACTAATTCATCTTCATGTCCTTATTCGGCGCGCCTCCCGCTGCGGAGGCGCCTAATCACACCCGCACGCCTTCACACTCACGTTCCAACTCTTTTTTCCATGGCCGCCGCCCTTCGCGCTCCTCCTCCCTCGTCTTCAAGGATTTCCCCCCGCAAATCTCGCACCAGCGCGATCCGTCCTTTGCGGAATGGACCGGCGGAAAGGACCCCCGCACATTGGCACCCTCCTCATCCCCACCGCAACCCACCGTTCCGCCGCAGGAACCGTCGGACTCATCTCCCTCGGACTCCTCTTCCCCTCCGCCAAACCTATTTCCCCTAAAGGAGCCGCAACAGGCGGCTTCCCCTCCGTCATTGCCGCAATTAGGCAAGGTGAAGGAGCAATGGCGGTCCATCTCAAGCCTCTCTCTCCCTCGCGCATTTTCCGGCCGCCTCGAGCACCTCGCAATCCCATCCCCCTCGGTCGAGCACGCTTCTAAGAACCGCCCGCACCCCTTCTCTCTCTTCCTCTCCTCGCTCCATGATTCTCCGTCCGAAAGTTCTGCAGAGCCTTCCCCCGCGTCGCTTATCAACTCCCCGAACTCCCCCGTCTCCCCCGACTCTCTTAACTCCCCGTGCTACTCCTATTCCACCGCTACTAGCTCCGCGGCTTCGACGCCTTTCGGCGGGCCGCCTTCGCTCTCATCTCTCACCACCACCCCTTCCTCCGCCTCCCCTTCCTCCTCCACCTGGTCGGACCTCTCCCCCTCCGTCGCCTCCTCCTGCTCCTCCGCCGCCTCCCCGTACCCGCTGCTCCGTCTCGCGCTCGACAGCCCCTCGGCGCGCAGCCCCTCCGTGCGGAGCCCTTCCGCTTCCGCCAAGGGCGCAGCCGCGCGCCTCTTCGACAGCCCGCGCAGTCGGTGCCAGAGCCCGCTAAGTCAAAACAGTCTTCCGCCGTCGCATCTGCAACCCACCGCCCACCATGGCACATTTCCGCGCTCAGGGAGCGGCGGAGCTACTGCGCCCAGCCTCCTCGGGGGAGCCGCCAGCGCCTCCGCGTGTGCCGATGGCGCGGTTGGCGGTAACTTGTTAACTAGCCCTGCCGCCGCCAGCGGGAGCCCCAATGGCGGAACCTGTAGCGCCCGAACGAGCGAGCGAGCCGAAAGCGCGCTGGATATCACAAGCGGGTGCAGCGACGGGCCTTATCTCCAAATCGGCCGCTCCTCTGCTGACACGTGTCAGGAATCAACGGCAGAGCTCGATCGCGGTTTGACGGACGTGGCGGCTGCAGCCGCCGTCGCCGCCGCCGTGGGCGGGCCATGGGCGGCAGTGGATCGATTCCGAGTGGAGAGCAGTGCAGGGGCAGATAGGCGGGCGGAACGGTGGGCGGATGGCATCAGCGCAGCGGAGGGCCGCGCGCAAGAGCAGAGGTCTGGGGAGCGGACCGCGCAAAGCGGCAGCATGGAACGGGGCGCGGAGAGGAACTGGGAGGCTTGCAGCGGAAGCGGAAGGGAGAAGGGCAGCGGACAGGGTAGTCGGGTGAAAGGGCGGGGCGGCAGCGGCAGCGGCAGCTGCAGCGGGAGCCCGAGCGGGAGCGGGAGCGAGAGTGGGAGTCCGAGCCGCGAGAGGATGCTGCATGCCGTGTCGTCTCTCACGCTGCTCCGTGACGTGTTGGAAAAGGAGAAGTACAGCCATCACCGCCGCAAACAGCAGCAGCAACAGCAGCAGCAGCAGCAGGAGCCGCAGCAGCCGCAGCAGCAGCAGCAGGAGCCACAGCAGCCGCAGCAGCAGCGGCAGCATGATAGGAGTGCGGGGAGTGAGACGGAGAGCGATGGTCCCGGAAGGAGGCGGCGGTCGAAGGATGGCAATCGCAGCGGAAGCGGGAGTGGGAGTGAAGGAGAGGCGGCCAGCCGGTCCGGGCGGCATAGGCGCGACAGTTACAGTGACGGTCAGAGAGACGGTCACAGGCACCGGCTCGAGGGGCGGCAGCAAGGGAAGGAGAAGGGGATGGGTGAGGATAGCAACGAGAGCAACGAGCGGCAGATGTACCGGCAGAAGCGGCACCAGCAGCCCTACGACCGGCACCATCACCAGCACCGCCACTCGCAGCAGGAGCTGGAAAGGAAATCGCAGCAGCCGGAGCGAGCCGTGCAAGGGCGGGAGAGGCGAGACTCTGTGGACTTCTGGCTGTACAAGTCGTCGAGTGTCGGTGCTGGCCCGCAGCATATGTCGGTGAGCAGGAGCAGCAGCGGCGGCAGCACAGGCAGCAACGGCAGCAGTGTGTGCAGCAGCAGCAACGCGAGCCCCAGCAGCAGACGCTCCCTGTCCCCTCTAGGCTCCCTCCCGAGCTCTCCGCATTCACCTTTCATGGCTTCTCCTGGCGTGTCCCCTTCCTTTCCAGCGAGTCATTCCGAACCACCGTCTCCTCTCCCCTCTGTTCACTCTCTCCAAGCCTCCTCTCTCGCGCCTTCTATGTCCTCTCCTTCTCAGCCGACCAGCTACCACCAGCGACAGGCCCCACTGTCCTCTCATTCCCCGGGCTCCAAGCGCCGGTGGCTTCTCTCGCTTCTCCGCGGTGGCAGCAGCAGTAGCGGCAGCAGCAGCAGTGGGGCTAGCAGCGGGAGCATCAGCGGCAGCAGCAACAGCAACAGCAGCAATAGCAATAGCAGCAACAGCGACGACGGCAGCAGTGGCGTGTCAGGTGCCATCAGCAGCAGCAGCAGCAGCAGTAGCAGTGGTGGCAATGGTAGTGGTGCTGGGAGGAGCGGCAAGAGCATGGGCATTGAGAAGCTACAGCAGCCACAGGGATCGACGCACAGCCCAAGGCGCAGGCTTGGGTTGAGCCTGGTGGCCGGAACCAGTTCAGCCCTCAGCCCGTGTGGAGGGAAGAAAGGAAACGAGGACAAGGGTGTTGAATGTAGTGGGGACAGTGCTTTGGAGGATGTTGCAAGTGCAGGGTTGACTGGGCGTGTGTTGGGTGGTCGCGAGGGAGTGTCAGACAGGAGCAGTGCGGCCTTGGAAGAGAATGGGAGGGGGGGATTTGCAATGGAGAGGAGTAAAGGGCCTGAGGGCACGATGAAGGTGGGACGAGGGAGAGAGAAGCAGAGTGAGGGGAGGAGTTCGGCAGGGCAGGTGGAGGATCAGGTGTGGGAGGTGACCGCATGCTTGCAACCTAAAACGCTGTAACCATGCATGCCAGTGCGCAGTGAAGCTTTGACAACTTCAGCATTTCTCAGCTTATGTGTACTAGGACTGGCACTGTTGTATAAAATCCAACCACAAACTAGATATTGTTTCTCTGCCGGAGCTGTAATGTTGTAATATATTGCAAGCATGTTGCATGGTTTTGCTAATGTGATTGCTCATCTGCAATTTGAGACTTTGAAAGGTGTCCCATGCTGCTAGAAACATGTTAGAAAAAGAGATCAGAAGTATCAGAACAAAAGAACCATACCATCATTATGTTCAGACATACGTATTCCCAAAAGGAACTGTAACCATGTCGGCGTCGCACGTGTGTCGCTCATCTGGTTGCGGGGCGGTGAGTGGCGTCGTAAGTGCCGTGAACGTCGCAGACCGTCGAAAGGGTGGTCATTAGGAGGCGGGCATTGCTCTCTGCCCAGAATGAGATTCTGGGCCGTGAAGTCGAATTTACGTCAGCTCTGAATACAAAATAAATAATCGAACAGCTTTCCTAGCTACTGTTTTGGTTGAATCCGTGGTTTTGTTTCGGGGCATTTGTTTCGGGGGAACTTTGCTCCAAAATGACTCTTCCTCTTGAAGCACATTCGTTTTCCTTTCAAAAAAATATCGGGGGGAGTCATCGGGCCGTCCGTCTGGGCAGTCGTCGTATTTTCGCACGATGATTTGCACGGTCAGGACAGGTACGCTTTCCGAGTCGCATTTCGATTTCGACATTCCCGTAATTACCGCAAGAAAAGCGCCTCGCGCTCAAAGCAGCAATATCCGCCTCCAACCCGCCACAAGCACCAAGCCAGTGATGGGCTTTGACGTTGCCGTGTGCGGTTTGACGAGCATGCCAAGCAGCCATCCATCACGAAACCCCCCCTTCACCACTCAGTCTTTCCCACAGCTTCCTCCCACATTCCCCCCTGGCAATCCACCACCCCAGCGTTCTTTTGACTGGCAGCGCCAAGAGCAAGTAACAACACTACACTACTGTACCATTTTTTAGCTGCCGCACTGACGACGTCGATCACGAGCACGATCCACTGGTGGCGATTCGTGCCGACCAATATTCGAACCAAACCAAACCCCGAGCCTCCAAGCTTCTGCACTGCAGGTCCAGCTTGCACTCCTCGCTGCTACTAAAACCAAGCCTACAATTATATTTGAAACGCGACGTGTCGTCGTGGTTCGGTTCGACCTGGATTTTCGGTCAACGATCGGAGACGAGGAGAGACGGAAAAGACGGACACAAGTTACACAACACATTAGATAAGAAGGAAGTTTCTCGCGCTTCCTGCGGCACGAGTCCTCCCTGCCATGCCCTCCCTTCCTTGCAGCTCACCTCACTCGCCCGCGCGTCTCACTCACCATGAAGCAATCCCATCCCATCCCACCCACCCCACCTTTGTCCGTCGCGCGAAAAAAATGGCGGCTAGTACTTTCTGCCGTGTAGACATCCGCGTCGCCCTGTGCGCGCACCACATCGGCCTCTCAAGTTCAAGTTGTCGTCGAACCGACGGAGAATTTGCGGTGCGGTGCTGCCGGCCCTGAAAAAACCTCACTCACCCCCGGAGTACGCAAACTCTCATGCTGCTCGGTGCGGTGCTCCTCATCTCACATGTCAGCTCACATCTGGGTCGGTGGCCAGGTCAGCTCACCTCACTCTCCGACGAGTGCGTGTCAAACATGCGACCCACCTCTCCAGTCTCGTCTCACTAGCCGTCTCTCGTCTCTCGAGTCTCGACTTTTGATTCGAGGCTCGACTCGACTCAACGTGCTCACTGGTGCTCTCTCTCTTAATAAGTAGCTCGGCTCCAGCCGTACCTGATTACAACTTCGTCGATTGCAAGCTTTTGACAAGGCCACATATACGTCCCTCCCTCTGTCCACCAGACAGCTCGTAATAACAATAAAAAAATACCTCTCCTTTAGGTTCGCTTAGCACAACTCGTCGACTCGACATCCAGCCGTAGTAGGGTTCTTTCGTTAACCATTCAGCCATGGCGCTCAGCGACCTCTGCGGGTTCAACAAGGCCTCGCAGAACCACGCGAGCGACTCAGCGACTTTAGCGACGGCGGCATCTGCGACATGTACGACACGTGCAGCGACAACTGCCTGCGTCAAGGTCCATCGTCCGCCGCTCCCCCTCACCCCAAACGAAGCCCGCCCGCTCAAGCGCTCCTCTTCCATTCGACGGACCTACTCGCGCAGCAACAGCGGGCTCTTCCCCTCAGGATTCGTTGCGCCCATGGGCTTTTCCGAGTCGCCAGTAGGTCCCTGCGCGGAATATACCGGCGCGGAAACTCGGGGGGAATTTTGTTCCGATATCATTCCCGATATCGCGCTCGCCGCGCGTCCTGCCTCGGAGACGGCGTGGCTATTTGGATTTTCCGGCTTGGACTCGCCGTCCTTCAAGTTACCCTCACCGCCCGTGCGCTTTGACGTCGGAACAATCTTACCGTTTTCAGTGACTGGTAACTCAAGGCTCGCGATTGAGTCGCCCGCCTGCCAGTGCGTCCGAGATTCCGCCAACTTCTGCTCCTGCGGACTCTCCCTGCAGGCGTCCGCGAGTGATAATAAGTGCGCCTGCGGGGTAGCCTCATGTGATGAAGCTTCGCCTAGCGCGGAGCGCCGTAGTTCACCCGTTACTCCTCCACTCACTGCAAGCAGCATCTCCACTGTAGATACCACCGCCTCCTCTACAGCACTATGCTCTACAACACCAGATTCGGTACACTCATTGTCTTCAGCAGCAGCAGCGGCAGCAGAGACTGCAGCAACATTGAGAACGACACCTGAAGCAACAACTTTGTCCTCGCTGGCAGATGCCTCAGTGTCCAAGCAAAGACTTGAGTGCAGAAGATCGAGTGATATCGTCACTACGAGCAACTGCCGTCGAGTGGTGGGTTTTAATGCACCCAGTTGTAACATCAGAGGTAGCAGATGAAGTATGGCAGCGACAGAGTGCAGAATTCTTGGTGCCTCGCAGTTGCGGTTATATTGAAATAATAAGTTTCTGATATGTTCCCTTGCATTGTTCTCAGTTCACCTGTACCATTGAAATTATAACTAACAAGATTGCATGCATACCGTTTATATCTGTGTAACTAAATGAGGAAACTGCAACCAAGACCGAAAATGTCATGTAAATTGGGACTTGAACACGAATTTCCCTAAACCCTCCACAAGCAAGACCACGTCGAACCCAGCCTCCCCCCTGCTTCCACCACTCCTGCAACAGCAGCTCCACCACAACCACCTATGGTTACTGCTGCTGCTGCTAGTCCTGGTCTGAAAGTAACAGCTGCTTGGTATTGCTGCTTCTAGCATTTGATCATACCACTCCATCCCCCTTCAATCTCGGGCAATGAGAGGTAAAACCTTAAGCCATTAAACAGGGACTCAGGAGCAAGCGGAAGGCGAGGCAAGGGAATCCGAGTCTTTCAGGGAGTCACATTTACTCCTCGCCCTTCTTGTTGTGCACATTGCCCTTGCGCGAGTACCTCATGTTGCGCACGAACTTAGCGTCCATCTGCAAGACGAAGCGGCAGAAGAAAAAGCGGAAGGCAGGAAGAAAGGGAGGACGAGGAAGAGGAAAGGGGGAGAGGTGCATGAGGAAGATAGATGAGCATAAAAGCAGAGGGATGGATGACATACAGCGGGCAGAAGTGAGGCTGGGTTAAAACGAATGAGGTGAAGTGAGGTGTGTGCAATGCGAAAAAATCGTGCCTGAACTTCCAATTCTCTGACAAGACAAGTCGCTAGAAGTGCTTGACCGCACTAGTCAACAACAGCGAAAGTTCCCACACCCAACTCCTCTCCTTCTCATTAATGACACCAGGACAGTGAGGACCAGCCGCGACAGAGGAGCTGCATGGAGGATGAAGAACAGCACAAAATACCTTCGAACTTCCTCCACCTAGGCCGCAATCACCCAGCAACCTACCAAGGAATTCTACGGTCCACCTAAAACGACGTTCAGTCGTGCCACTACACGGGTATGTGAGAACCAGATGAAGAACTAACACAATTCATCACTCTCGAATCGCTAAGGTGAGGTGATCGTCGCGCCACAAGGATTTGAAAGCTCCAACGTTCTTGATCCCTCGCGCAAGAAGATATTAAAACAAGTACCATCCCTTGAATCCCTTTCAGCAATACTTACCCCAAGCGTGGAGGAGTATCTGTGCTTCTTGGGCTTCTTGATACCATTCTTGTGCTGCTTGTACGTCTGGTTGTGCGCCGTGTGGTTCTTCGACTTGGCCATGGCTGCCTCCGCTGTAGAAAACGAAAAACGGGAGCAAAAACACACAACAAAAATAACAAAAACACAACAGACGAGAACGAAGACGTTGAGTGTTTTGTAGGTTTCCAGGCTGTCACCTGCAGCATGGGCGGAAACTTCCTACCAGGTGAATCGCGGTAACTAAATACGGGTGAAAGAGGGGACGATAATGGATGCAAGGAACCGGTCCAAAACAGGTGGCATCAATAAACGGTCTGCCGGCGAATGGCAATCATAATAAGGAACCCCAGATCCACAGGACGACGGAAATAACTCAAACTACTAGAACGCTCTCAGAGTGGCTATCTGACGGGCGACTGAGCTTAAAAGATTGCTACGAACGACTATCTGGATATGTTGCAGGAGATGACGAGCAGAACAAGCTACGATTCCCCACTCAGCTACTCGACGAGCGGAGGCTAGATTCCATAACACGTTTCGCGGAAACAAGAAAAAGGTCAGTGAGCGAAAGCTGGCTTACAGAATGGAGAGCCTGAGTGGTAACTGGGCGAGGAGGGGGTGTACGAACTGACAGACAGGCAGGCTCTAGGAGTTGGTCAGGAGCAGAGAGTTTCTACGGGAGCAAGGGTAGTACTTTGTAAGGCAGGGCAGAGAAAGGTGCAGCAGAGGAGGGTTTGGAGGGGATGAGGGGGACGAAGGGCACACGGGGATCAGGGCTCAGGCGAGGGGAGAGCATGGGGAAGATGAGGG